TGATCCAACTCCATCCGGTGATGCCCACTCCTGGAGCTGGACCTCTCTTATCCCAGTGGAGGTAAGGTCCAATTGCAGTGCAATGGGTACAATACCAGTTCAGTACCTCTTGACTCAGGACTTAAAGGTGTGTACATAGCTCCTGTCCAGAGCAGCTCCTGACAGGGGTCTAGTTTCAAAATTGTGCTAGTGAATATAAAATTTTCCCAGCACTGTTTTCTTTGAAGAGGATGCCTTTAATCCAATGTATGTTTTTGGCACCTCAGTTGAGAAGCAAATGGCTGTAGATGCATGGGTTTATGTCTGTGCCCTATTTTCTAGTTCATTGATCTACATGTCAGTTTCCATGCCAATATTAAGTTATTTTGTTAATGTGCCTCTATAGTATATTTGAAGCCAGGTATTAAGATGCCTCCAGCATTGCTCTGTCTGTGTGAGATTTCTGTGGTTATTTGGCAATTTTGGTGCTTTGGCATCTTTTGAAGAACGTCATTGGTATTTTGATGGTAATTTTACTGACTTTATTGATCCATATGGACAATATGACCATATTAGCAATATTAATTCTACCAATCCATGAACACAGGAGGTCTTTTCATCTTCTAGTGTCATCTTTAATATTGTTTTTGAGTTTCTTTTAATAATTTTTATTGTAGTGGTCTCTCACATCCTTGGTTAGGTTTATTCCTAAGTATTGCTTTTTGGGACAATTGTAAATTGGATTGTTTTCCTTATTTATTTCTCAGTCAATTCATTGTTGGTATATGAACCAGCTTCAAAAATTTGTATGTTGATATTACCCTGTAACTTTGCTGAACTTGTTTATTATCTTTGAGAGTCTTTTGGAAGTGACATAGAGTACTCTAAACACAGAATTATATTATCGGCAAACAGGGATAATTTAACTTACTTCTTTAGTATTAATATCCCTTTTATTTCTTTCTCAAGCATGACTGCTCTGTGTAAAATTTCAGGTATTGTATTGTATGAGAGTGGGGAGAGTGGGAACTTTGTCTTGTCTCTGATATTAAAGGAAATGCTTTCAGTTTTTCTCCATTCAGTATGATGAGGGCTATAGGGTTTCTCATATCACAGCTTCTATTATGTTAAGGTGTGATCTTTCTATACTTAGTTTCTTTAGATTTTTTTCATGAAGGGATATTGAAATTTGTCAACATCTATTTAGATCATCATGTTGTTTACATCCTTGATTCTACTTATATGCTATATTACATATACCTTTCCCTGTTATGAAACAGTTTGAGGAGCCTTAACACTAGATATTCTTTAAAAGTATGGTAAAATTCAGGCCTTTCTTGTAGGGAGACTGTTTATTACTGCTTCAATAATATTGCTTGATATTGATCATTTATGTTTTCTAAATCTTGGCTCAATTATGGCAGTTCATACATACCCAGGAATTTGTACTTCTTTTTTTTAGGTTTTCTGATTTATTGGCATATAATTTTTCAATGTATTCCCTTATGATTTCGTGGATTTCAGTGATACCTGTTGTAATATGCCCTTTTGCCACCACCACTCAAATTTTGTACATTTGGGTCTTCTCCCACTTTCGTTTGGTGATGTTTTCTAAGGACTTGTCAAGTTTGTTATCTTTTGGAAGGAACAACTCTTCATTTAATTGATCTTTGTATTTTTAGTGTCTATTTCATTTGTTTTTTCTCTATTGTCTTTCAAAAATTCTACTGTTTGGGTTTGGATATTTCTTGTTTTCTAAGACCTGGAGATGCATCATTAGTTTTTTGTTTTTTTTGTTTTTATTGGAGATCTTTCTGATTTTTAAAATCTAGGCAATCATAACTGTAAACTTCCCTCTTAGTACTGCTTTAACTATCCCATAGGTTATGTTTCTATTTGCATTTGTTTCTAGAAATTCAAAACTTTCTACCTTGTTTTCTTTAATAGCCCACTGGTCATTCAAAGTCATTATTCAAAGACAGAAGGATGTCCGTTCTCACCCCTCTTATTCAACATATTTCTTGAAACTCTAGCCACATCAATCAGGCAACATAAGTAATTTAATGGAATACAAATAGGAAAAAAATAAGTCAAATTATCTCTGTTTTCTGATGACAGGGTGCTATATTTAGAAGATCCGAAAAACTCCACCAGATTCCTACCCTGATGAATTTAGCAAAATAGCACGGTACAAGCTCAAACTGCAACATCTTTTCTACACACCAACAGAGAACCCAATGAAAAGAAATCAGGAGAACAATTCCATTCATAATAACATTAAAATAAATACAAAGCCTTGGGAATAAATAAACAGGACCAAAGAGGAGGGAGACTTCTACAATTAAAATACATAGAATACTGAGGAGTAGAAATCGAAGAAACCTTGGAAGATGGAAAGACCTCCCAGGTTCTTGAATAGGCAGACCCATTTTGTCAAAATGGTATTGTACAAAATGTGATATACAGATTCAATGCAATCTCCATCAAAATGCCAATGTCATTCCTCACATATCCATGAAAAAAAGTCCTAAAACTTCACACAGAGGAATCAAAGACCCAGAATAGACAAAGCAACTCTGAGCAATAAGAACAAGGCTGGAGGCTTCATAACTTCCAACCTCAAGTTATACTGCAGAGCTATAATAACAAAACCAGCATGGGACTGGCATATAAACAAACACGAAGACCAGTGAAATAGAGGACACCAAGACAAAGCCTCATAGACATGTTCAGCTTGTCTTTGATAAAGTTTCCAAGAAGGAAAAAAGACAGTCTTTTTAACAAACGGTGCTTGGAAAACTGGATAGCCATTATTTATAAAATAATGAAGGTCGATCCCTCTCACCCTGAACTAAATTCAACTCAAAGTGCCTGAAAGTCCTGGGTGACTGACCAGAGATTACAACTGATACAACAAAACAGAGGTTCCACACTCCTACCTACCTATAGGTGCAGCAAATATCTTCCTTAATAAGAGACCCACAGCCTAAGAAATAAAACCAAGAATCTATAGCATCAAAATGCTCTTGTGATAACATCAAATGGGAAAGCAGTCTTTCTCTTTATCGTCTTTTGTATTTCCATCTCTAAACTGTGTTTTGAAAATTAAAAAAATCTAACTTGTATATGTTAATTCTAAGTTCAGTTTTGTATAGTCAATATTTATACTATCCATCAAAGCATTTTATATAATTTTTATATATATTAGTTTCATGATTTTTCATTTATTCCCTTTTAATATTTCATATTTCATGTTATTCATTAAGAATATATATTTTTATGTGTGTATACACACACACACACACACATATATACTTATGATGGTACTAAGCATTGAAACATATGCACTCCTATGTCCATTGCAGCACTATTCACAATAGTTAAGAAGTGGAAGCAAAGTACCTATCAACTGATGAAAAGATAAAGAAAATGTGGCATATATAATATACTTTATTCAGCCATAAAGAGCATGTTTCCAAAATTTTGGTGCAATATGGATGGCACTGTAGATCATTAGGCCAAGTAAAATAAGCAAAACACAGAAAGACAAATACCACTGGATGCACTGGTATTCCATTTATATGTGAAACCCAAACAGCTGTTCTCATACAAGTCCAGAGAGCAGTAGGTCCAGATGCTGGGGTGAGTGGGGAGGATGGAGAGATAGAGAAAGGTTGGTCAGTGGGAACTAAGTTGTAGTTAGTTGAGAGCAAGAAATTCTGCCGTGCAGAGCAGGTGATCACACAGAACAGTGAGTGATGTGCTGTAAATGCCAAGAATCTAAAAGAATGGACTTTGAATATTTATACCATAAAGAAATGACAAAATGTGGGGCTGGGGTTGTGGCTCAGTGGTAGAGCTCTCGCCTAGCATGCAAGAGGCACTGGGTTCGATCCTCAGCACCACATAAATGTAACATGAAGATACTGTGTCCACCTAAAACTTAAGAATAAATATTAAAAAAAAGAAATGACAAAATGTGAGGAGGTGTGTTTAATTATGATATAAACACTATACAGTGTGTATATGTATAAAAGCATCATGTTACTCTATTAATATGTACAGTTATGTACCTTTTAAAAATTCATGTAATATATAAAAAGATAATCATACTGTACAAGATAAATTTGTGCAATTAAATAATGATTTATAATTTAAAAAGACAGTTATTACAGCTTGAGAAAGATCACCATATAGACAGTAGTGAATATTTGTGCCATATCACATGGCCTCAGAAGTACCAACCTCTACACTTTAGCACATTCAAATATCATCTTACAAGTACTGAGCTGTAGAAGGCACTTACTGTGTAGAGAATGTAAATTAGACATGAGTGCACATTCCCTTGAATAGGTTTTGTGCTATATAGAGCTCTCTGATAATTAAAAATTACGAATATTGTTCCCTATGTTAGCATATAGAAAGTACTTTATCTTTGTGGCTGATGGAAACTGTCATGCTCTGATTTTCATGAATATTTAAAATAATTTCACTTGTATAATTTATATGATGGAAGTAATTTTCCAAATGTGATCAGGTATTAAAACTTTTAATCTTATAACTTATGTTTTTCTAAAGAGTTACCTAATTGCCATGTTACTTGCCAGTTAATGAGAGCATTTCTAAATACAAATTATGAGATAGTTTCAAATGATCTAATTGAGGAGGATATTTCCAAAAAATCATCATTTCAAAAAGTGGGAAGGGAAAGAGGGGCTGGAAATGTAAATAACAATATTGCTACAAAGCAGAAAAATCAATGTGCCTCCTGAATTTTTCTAGAAGTATATCTAAATGGCTTTTCTTACTGCTGATAAAAGTATTACCATAAATGGCTCAAAGATTCAAAATATTGATACAATTGAACTCAAAGATCAATTATTTTATTCATTTAACAGATATTTATTGAGGACCTACTATGAAACAAATATTCATTTAAGTTTTACACTAACACTCTTAGAACACTTACTCAACTAAATAAATAAATAATATTAGTCAAATTAATTATCTAATACCTCAATTACTTAATTTTTTTTCACCAAAATTAGTCACATTCTATTTATGTCTGGCAAATTTTCTACTCATTTATATGTACTCATGTGGGTATATTCATGAAAATGTTCACAGTCACAAGTTTTTTCTAACTTTACATGTGTGTTTCTACTAATGTGTGATAGAAAAAGGGCATATAGATGAAATGAATTAATCAAATATCCTTAATACATTCGTTTGATAAGCCAGAAGCAAAATATCTTGTGACTCCTCTCACCATTGTTATACAGAATATTATATTTCTGGATATGTTTCCTTGTTTCTACACAATAAACTGATTTTTGAGGAGATAAGTATTTGACTTCAGGAACTTGACTTCGATATGCACCTTAATATGTGGTTCAGCACATGGAGAAGATCTGAGAAGCATGACATTAAGTTATTGAGCATCCTACAATTTTTAAATCAAAATTTTAGAAACACTTTTCCCTCTAAAACTATCTTCTTGAATGCCCTCTTGACCTCCGTGTTCCTGAGGCTGTAGACCACAGGGTTCAGCATGGGGATGACCATGGTGTAGAACACAGAGGCAAATTTGTCAGTGTCCATGGAGTGACTGGAGCTGGGCTGCAAGTACATGAAGATAATTGTCCCATAGAAAATGGAGACTGCAGTGAGATGGGAGGCACAGGTGGACAGAGCTTTCTGGTATCCTGTAGCTGAGCGCATCTTCAGGATGGTGATAAATATGAATAGGTAGGACACCAAGATAATTAGAAGAGCAAAAAAGGCATTGAAGCTGGCTACATAAACAAGAACCAGCTCATTGACGTGTCTATCAGAGCAAGAGAGAGCCATGACTGCTGGAATATCACAGAAGAAGTGATGAACCACGTTGGACTTACAGAAGGAGAGACTGAATATTTCTCCAATGTGGATGGAGGCATTCAGGAAACCACAGACATGGCAGCCTATGACCAGACGGGCACACACACCTGTAGTCATGGTGGTAGAGTAATGTAAGGGTTTGCACACAGCGGCAAAGCGGTCATAAGCCATAGATGCCAAGAGGAAATTTTCCACAGTGGCAAAGGCTATAAAAATGAACATCTGAGCAGCACAGACATTGTAGGAGATGACCTTGTCTCCTAGAAGGAGCCCAGCCATGGCTGAGGGAGTGACAGCAGAAGAGTAGCCTAAATCCGCCAGAGACAAGCTACCAAGAAAAAAGTACATGGGAGTGTGGAGACGAGAATCAGTGAGAATGAGAACAATCATCCCAAGGTTTCCAAGAACATTAATGAAATAGATAAGTGTGATCATGATAAAGAGGGCCACCTGTAGTCCTGGGGCATTGGTGAGTCCTAGTAGGAGGAACTCTGTCACTTCTGTCCTGTTCTGCATCTGTGCTATTTGGGAGTCAGGAGATGCTCTTTAGCAGAGAGAAATAAAGTACAAGAATGTAACTAGGTGTTATGAAATAAATATTTCCCTGAAAATAAAACATTTATACAAAACAGGTGAATTATTTCATTGCGGCAATAATACACATTTCAAACTCTTCCAATGTGTGAATTTCAACTTAGCTGCAAAATTTAGTGCATTAATTATTTATTGAGTTAGAAACTCTTAAATCTGAAAATTCAATTTAAGTCAAATACTATTTGTCAAATTTTAAATGATTCAAATTAATGCATGCTAAATTTTATGAATCAAACAACATGTCAGGTAATGTGTATATAATTATATACGTATAATTATAACATATAATGTAGTATTTTATATATATATATATATATGTATATCATGCATCACATACACAAAATGAAGAAAGTAATGGTATCTAAAGCAAAATATTATTGTAAGAATTCAATGTGAAAATAACATCTAAATTCTGGGGGATTGTGACTTTGTGTCAGTTATAGTAATATTATCTATGTACAATGATGGATTGTATTGGTGTTGGCTTAGAAGTAGGTGGCCTTATATGAAGCTTCAGGAATGGGTGAGCTCTGCAGTCTTGTAGTTTCCCTCTTGATTTGCATTTTCTCTCACTTAGGGTTACTAAGATTTTCTATGTCTTCTCTTTGTTGTTCCTCCATCCATGATTGGCTGCTCTAGCACTACCAAGTGGCTGTTTTTTCTTTTGCTATTCTTGTTCAATTTCTTCCTCGAAATCCATATTTTGGCTTACACTGAAGAATATCCATTTCTTATACCAATTCTTTCCTTCTATGGTATATTCATCTATTTAAATCACTGAGATTTAGGGCTGAAAGTTCCTAGTTGTGCTTTACTGTAGCCTGCAGATCTTGCATCTCATGTAGTCCATAAATGTACACAATTATTAAATTAAAATGAAAATGTTAAAAATATGCAAGCTTAATTGTTTTTAAGTACGAATTGTTTAGTAGTAGTGCTACAAATTGGTAACCCATCTTTTCCACTTAACAATAGATAATGAATATCCATGTTAATAAACATTTACCTACAACATCAAAAAAAATGCAAACTTAAAAAATGTTCCTTTGAATCTGTTTCTGTGTAGAAGCAATGTTTTAATTCTTTTTATTTGAATATGAAGTCTTTGAAGGTAAGCACCAAAGGCTAACTAGAATTCCCTACCATCTTATTCTTAACTTTCAGCAATCTTACTGCATAAACTAAACCCTTGGAGGCATTACATTTGCCAGTCTTCACACACATGAGCACTTTTTGGTATATGATCTATTCTATGACAATTGAGGGGGTCTTTATACAGAAGTGTGAGTGCATGTGTTATGCATGTGCAGGTATTTTTATTTTACCAGGAAGATAAATTAATATTTGTGCAGTTTTGTTATGCTCTATTATTATATATCTAGGATGAAGAAGATTCAAGATTTAACCTAGTTTGGTCTTAATCACCAGCCTATTATTTTATTCACATAAAAGTCAATATATATAAATGTGGTAGAAATAATTACAGTTATGGAGAAAATATTAAAATAAAAGTTAGAACTTTATTCTTAATTCTTTATAACTTAATTTTGTGTGCTTTCCTCTCTGGCTTAAATGAGAGCCATTTTACTTGTTCATTTTTTGTTTATCTCCAATAATAAGCATACATACAGAGAACGTGAAATTACCACCTAATTATCAGAACGTCATCTATACTCTTGTTTTTGACTGAAATTTCTTAGTTTAGCAAAACAATGATATTTTGTAAATATCATGGAACTCTGCTGATATGACTGTTGACACTACACCCCATATCCGCCTCAGTTTTAAAGAAAAACATTCAAACTATTGAGTATAGCTATCCTACTATTTTGCTAGAATTTCAGATTTTACTGAGTCTTTATTGAATGTAGAAACTTACCTTCCTCTTGGGAGCATGCAACAATCTTGAACAGGGAGCTTGAAATAGGAAATTCAACAACAGATTAATGCATCCATTATCTTAGAGAAGCTGTCTGTCTCAGGTAGTGGTTAATGGTCCCAAGCTGCCTAAGGCAGGAAAGAAAATGGAAAGAGTGGTATTAACATGTGTTCAAGTCCTGAGTCTATAATGCATTTTTTTCTAGGTCTTTGGCAGAGATGGTCTCCTCCTTCTTAATTGTAAAATGAAGACAATATAAAGATCTCTTCCACAAAATTTGCAGAATTGTGCTTTTAGATAGCAAATAAGGGACTGCCTATACAACAACAAGTTAAAGGTGGGTTATATTTTCATGTCATTTAATATAAATTTTATTTTTAGGTATTCCTTTAACTCTGTTGCAGGATTCTAGCAAATCCCCAAATCAGGACAAGGCCTATATGCATGAGCAACTATCAACATTCAGATAAATAAAATGGAAAGAGTCGAAGGGAGTAGAATTGAAATCTTGTGCCTCTGAAATGAAGTCATCTGGGGTCATGTTGAATTTCAGAAACTAATATATGGGGACCAAGAGTCAATTATGAAGACATGAATCTCTCAGAGGATGCCCTGCAAGAGAGCATCTGTAACTCCTCTTTCCTAAAGAAGAACAATTAAACTGCCTGTGGGGACCAATTTGGAAATTTTGAGTATGCACATGTGTTTTGTATTACAGGTTAATGTATCAATAACAATGATATGCATACTTTTTAGCATACAGTTTTTGACTTTTTGTTAAATATGTAGCTATGCAACCACTACCAAAATCACCTGAACTAATTTTCTAAGCTTCTTGGTGGCCAAACTCTTTTTTCACCCAGTGTCCTGAAAACCACTCAACAAAATTTTTAATTTTTCTTTTGCAAGAATATCTTTCACTAGAACATGTGGGTTTTGATTCTGACATCTTTTACTTAGCAAAACTCATTTGGGGGGTCCATCTATTTTGTTAACTGTATCTTCAATGGAACTTTTATGGACTTATGTTCCATAAGTCAACTGTAGACATTATTTTTGTCATATCCTGATGCAGGACCATTTTTGTGGACTCCAGTGTTTAGGTGATTATTAATAAAGTTGATCTACACATATTATGTCACAGGGCAACTCTTAGACAATATAAAGGAGTAGAGATAGTACCATGCATCTTATCTGATCATAATGGAATGAAAATGAAAATCAACGATAAAAGAAGGAAGGAAAACGCATACATCACTTGGAGAATGAACAATAGGTTACTGAATGATCAATGGGTTATAGAAGACATCAAGGAGGAAATTCAAAAATTCTTAGAGATAAATGAAAACCACAGACACAACATATCGGAATCTATGGGACACATTGAAAGCAGTTCTAAGAGGAAAATTCATTGCTTGGAGTTCATTCCTTATAAAAAGAAAAAACCAACAAATAAATGATCTCATACTTCATCTCAAAATCCTAGAAAAAGAAGAGCAAAACAACAGCAAAAGAAGTAGAAGGCAAGAAATAATGAAAATCAGAGCTGAAATTAATGAAATCAGAACAAAAGAAACAATTGAAAAAATTGACAAAACTAAAAGTTGGTTCTTTGAAAAAATAAACAAAATCGACAGACCCTAAGCCATGCTAGCAAAGAGAAGAAGAGAGAGAACTCAAATTACTAACATACGGGATGAAAAAGGCAATATCATAACAGACACTTCAGAAATACAGAAGATAATCAAAAATTATTTTGAATCCTTATACTCCAATACATTAGAAGATAGTGAAGGCATAGATAAATTTCTTAAGTCATATGATCTGCCCAGATTGAGTCAGGAGGATATAGAAAACCTAAACAGACAACCTAGCTGCCAGCACAATATCAATTGAGGAAATAGAAGAAACCATCAAAAGACTACCAACTAAGAAAAGCCCAGGACCAGATGGGTATACAGCAGAGTTTTACAAAACCTTTAAAGAGGAACTAATACCAATACTTTTCAAGCTACTTCAGGAAATAGAAAAAGAGGGACAACTTCCAAATTCATTCTATGAGGCCAACATCACCCTGATACCTAAACCAGACAAAGACACTTCAAAGAAAGAAAACTACAGACCAATATCTCTAATGAACCTAGATGCAAAAATCCTCAATAAAATTCTGGCGAATCGGATACAAAAAATATATCAAAAAAATTGTGCACCATGATCAAGTAGGATTCATCCCTGGGATGCAAGGCTGGTTCAATATACGGAAATCAATAAATGTTATTCACCACATCAATAGACTTAAAAATAAGAACCATATGATCATCTCGATAGATGCGGAAAAAGCATTCGACAAAGTACAGCATCCCTTTATGTTCAAAACTCTAGAAAAACTAGGGATAACAGGAACATACCTCAATATTGTAAAAGCAATCTATGCTAAGCCTCAGGCTAGCATCATTCTGAATGGAGAAAAATTGAAGGCATTCCCTCTAAAATCTGGAACAAGACAGGGATGCCCTCTCTCACCACTTCTGTTCAACATAGTTCTCAAAACACTGGCCAGAGCAATTAGACAGATGAAAGAAATTAAAGGCATCAAAATAGGAAAAGAAGAACTTAAATTATCACTATTTGCAGGTGACATGATTCTATACCTAGCAGACCCAAAAGGCTCTACAAAGAAACTATTAGAGCTAATAAATGAATTCAGCAAAGTGGCAGGATATAAAATCAACACACATAAATCAAAGGCATTCCTGTATATCAGTGACAAATCCTCTGAAATGGAAATGAGGACAACCACTCCATTCAAAATATCTTCAAAAAAATAAAATACTTGGGAATCAACCTAACAAAAGAGGTGAAAGACTTATACAATGAAAACTACAGAACCCTAAAGAGAGAAATAGAAGAAGATCTTAGAAGATGGAAGAATATACCCTGTTCATGGATAGGCAGAACTAACATCATCAAAATGGCGATATTACCAAAAGTTCTCTATAGGTTTAATGCAATGCCAATCAAAATCCCAACGGCATTTCTTGTAGAAATAGAGAAAGCAATCATGAAATTCATATGGAAAAATAAACGACCCAGAATAGCAAAAACAATGCTAAGCAGGAAGTGTGAATCAGGCGGTATAGCGATACCAGACTTCAAACTATACTACAGAGCAATAGTAACAAAAACAGCATGGTACTGGTACCAAAACAGGTGGGTGGACCAATGGTACAGAATAGAGGACACAGAAACAAATCCACAAAACTACAAGTATCTTATATTTGATAAAGGGGCTAAAAGCATGCAATGGAGGAAGGATAGCATCTTCAACAAATGGTGCTGGGAAAACTGGAAATCCATATGCAACAAAATGAAACTGAATCCCTTTCTCTCGCCATGCACAAAAGTGAATTCAAAATGGATCAAGGAGCTTGATATCAAATCAGAGACACGCCGTCTGATAGAAGAAAAAGTTGGCTACGATCTACATACTGTGGGGTCGGGCTCCAAATTCCTCAATAGGACACCCATAGCACAAAAGTTAATAACTAGAATCAACAAATGGGACTTACTCAAACTAAAAAGTTTTTTCTCAGCAAAAGATACAATAAGAGAGGTAAATAGAGAGCCTACATCCTGGGAACAAATCTTTACTCCTCACACTTCAGATAGAGCCCTAATATCCAGAGTATACAAAGAACTCAAAAAATTAGACAATAAGAGAACAAACAACCCAATCAACAAATGGGCCAAGGACCTGAACAGACACTTCTCAGAGGAGGACATACAATCAATCAACAAGTACATGAAAAAATGCTCACCATCTCTAGCAGTCAGAGAAATGCAAATCAAAACCACCCTAAGATACCATCTCACTCCAGTTAGATTGGCAGCCATTATGAAGTCAAACAACAACAAGTGCTGGCGAGGATGTGGGGAAAAGGGTACACTTGTACATTGCTGGTGGGACTGCAAATTGGTGCAGCCAATTTGGAAAGCAGTATGGAGATTTCTTGGAAAGCTGGGAATGGAGCCACCATTTGACCCAGCTATTCCCCTTCTCGTTCTATTCCCTAAAGACCTCAAAAGAGCATGCTACAGGGACACTGCTACATCGATGTTCATAGCAGCACAATTCACAATAGCAAGACTGTGGAACCAAACTAGATGCCCTTCGATAGATGAATGGATAAAAAAATGTGGCACTTATACACAATGGCGTATTACTCTGCATTAAAAAATGACAAAATCATAGAATTTGCAGGGAAATGGATGGCATTAGAGCAGATTATGCTAAGTGAAGCTAGCCAATCCCTAAAAAACAAATGCCAAATGTCTTCTTTGATATAAGGAGAGTAACTAAGAACAGAGTAGGGTTGAAGACCATGAGAAGAAGATTAACATTAAACAGGGATGAGAGGTGGGAGGGAAAGGGAGAAGGGAAATTGCATGGAAATGGAAGGAGACCCTCATGGTTATACAAAAGTACATACAAGAGGAAGTGAGGGGAAAGAGAAAAATAATACAAGGGGGAGAAATGAATGTCAGTAGAGGGGGCAGAAAGAGAAGAGGGGAGGGGAGGGGAGGGGAGGGGGGATAGTAGAGGATAGGAAAGGCAGCAGAACACAACAGACACTAGTATGGCAATATGTAAATCAATGGATGTGTAATTGATGTGATTCTGCAATCTGTATATGGGGTAAAAATGGGAGCTCATAACCCACTTGAATCAAAGTGTGAAATATGATATATCAAGAACTATGTAATGTTTTGAACAACCAACAATAAAAAATTAAAAAAAATTCTAATAAATAAAAAGCAAGACTTAATCCTTCAAAAAAAAAATAAAGTTGATCTAAATATTGGTGACTTTTCTTGTGCGAGCAGGGGGTTTTATTTAATTAGGTCAAATAGATAGGAATTGGATTGCATCATCATATGGTAAATATGTTTATTTGAACTGTTTCAACTATCAACATTGAGATAAATAAAGATGGTCAAAGGAAGTAGAATTGAAATCTAGTCCCTCTGAAATGAAGCACTGGGAATCATGTGGAACTTCAGAAGCTAATACACAAGTACCAGGAACATTTACAGAAAATCCCAAACTGTTTATGGAAGTGTTTCTATCAGTTTTCATTCTCAAGAGCAATTCATTCCAATTTCATCATGTCTTTTTTTGCACTTAGTTTTTATCTGACCTCCTGTTTGCTATTTCTCAACGATGGCTCAAGTTTTCCCAGCAAAATCTTTATATTGTGTCATTTTATTTTTATTTATTTAGTGTTTCTTTTTATTTTTTTAATTGTCAGATCATAGCTGAATATCCTTTGAGGTATGATGTTTAAGCATAGTTAGTCATTATGTATCAAACTTAGAATACTTAAGTTATCCATCATTTTAAATATTTATCATTTCTTTGTGATGAAAATATGCAAAATTCTTTCTTCTCGATATTTTAAATTATATAACACAACATTGTTAGCTATAATCATCCTCAGGGCCATTCATTTTTCTTGTTTTTTAAAGATATATCAAGGGTCTTTTCCTCAAAATCTAAAAACACACAGAGACTTATATATCATCACATTTAAAGTCTGGGAGTGTTTTTATTTTATAATAATTTTTTTTCCTATAAAGAAAATAGATCCATTTTCTTTTCTACAGTCTACTCTGAGCCTTCAATTCCCAAAAGACTCATCACACCTTTCTCATTGCAACCATGTGTAGTAGTATTTAAATGTTTATTCTGTTTACTAAGATGGCCTGGTTTCATATCAAGCAAATTAACTCTATCAAATTTCAGTGCCTCATCTGTGAATGAAAGTTATAATAACATCATCTCTTCCTTATAGGATGGTCAAGAAGATTATCATATCACTTATATACAAGCTGGAGAACAATTTCTAGCATGCATAAAGTTAGATATATTAATATTATACTGTTTATAAAAATTGAGGTAGCATGGGTAGCATGGGTCACAAAAATAGTGTCGTTCAAGCCTTCCATCTACTTTCTTGCATGTGCCTGCCCCATTGCAGTGTGACTGAGACATGAGCTACCCGTAGAAAATGAACCATAGGAGGGCTGAGTACGTGTCATTTCTGGGCAGGTAGATTGGAGCATATGCATTGCCCTCTAGGTATCTCTCACCTGTCATGGAGATTGAAGAGAGTTCATGTTCCAGAAGGTGCAGGTAAATATGGTGAATTCTTTATCAGCCTATATCTTTAAATGACTACACAGGGAAAGCCTTCATTTTGCCAGAAAACCTGTGTTCAAATTCTAATAGATTTTTTTCCATAAGTTGAAAATAATTTATATGTAAGGACAACAGATCCTGAAGAGCCAAAACAATCTTGATGAAGAACAGAGTAAGACTCACACTTCTTGATTTCAAAGCTGAATACAAATCAAAAGGAATCAAAGCATTTTGGTATTGGCTTAAGAATACAGGTCTAAGCCAATGAAATAGAGTTGATGCTTCCAAAATAATCCCATATATGTATGGATAATTGTTTTTTCATGCAGCTGAATTGTCTATTTAATGGGAAAAGAACAATCTTCAACAAATGGTTCTAGGACAAATGGATAATAATATATAAAAGAGTGAATTTGGGTATTTTATATTGAATATTTGCCAACAAAGTAGACTTTGAGTAGCTTTAACACACACAAAAGAAAAATGATGGTATAAGATGATGAATAAGTTAATTTGCTTGACTTTAGTAATCACTTCACAATGTACATACACATAAAACATCATATTGTATACCTTAAATGCAATATATGCAGTGAAGCTGCATTCTTACTTCATATTATTTACAAAAATCAAAATGATTGATAACCTAAATGTGAAAGCCACAGCCATAAAATTGTTGGAAATATGGGCAAATCTTTTAGACTTTAGGCTTGGCAATGATTTAAACAAAGTCATTCAACATTACACTTTTGTGCCTTAAAGTATGTTATCAAGAAAGTGAAAAGGAAACCCATGGAATAGTAAAAGAGATATTTGTAAATCATACATCTAATAAGGGTTTACCATAGAGAATATATAAAGGATTTATACACCTCAGGCAGCAATGAAAAAAGAAACTTCTATTTAAAAATGGGCAAAGCCTTTGAATAGACATTTTTGCAAAGATTTGTAAAAGACCAATAAGTACCATGAAAGATTTTCAAAATCATTGGTCAAGGAGAAAATGCAAATCAAAACTACATAATTAAAAAACTAAACCTAGAGAATATTTTGCCTTCTCAACAACTTTTTTGAAAGCACTCTTGACCTCCTTGTTCCTCAGGCTGTAGACCATAGGGTTCAGCATAGGGATGACCATAGTGTAGAACACAGATGAAATTTTGTCAGTGTCCATGGAGCGGTTGGAACTTGGTTGCAAGTACATAATAATAACAGTCCCATAAAATATAGAAACTGCCATGAGGTGTGAGGCACAGGTGAATAAAGCCTTCTGGTATCCCTCACCTGAGAGCGTCTTTAAAATGGTGGTAAATATGAACAGGTAAGAAACCAAGATAACAAGAAGTGCCAAAAAGATATTAAAGCTTGAAATAAGAAAAATGATCAATTCATTAAGGTGTTTATCAGAGCAAGCCAGAGTCATGATGGCTGGAATATCACAGAAAAAGTGATGGATCACATTCACACAGAAAGAGAGACAGAACATGTCTCCAATGTCAATAGCAGCAGTCAGAAAACCAAGGATGTAACAGCATATGGCCAAATAAGCACACACCCTTGTGGTCATGATGGTAGAGTAGTGTAGGGGTTGGCACACTGCTGCATAGCGGTCATAGGCCATTGCAGTCAAGAGGTAACTTTCCACAGTGGCTAAAAGTACAAAAAAGAACATCTGAGCAGCACAAGCATTGTAGGAGATGACCTTGTCTTCCATAAGCAACCCAGCCATGACCTTGGGAGTGACTGTTGAAGAGTAACAAAAATCCACCAGAGACAAGTTATTAAGGAAAAAGTACATGGGGGTGTGGAGGCGGGAGTCCAGCAGGATCAACGTGATCATCCCCAGGTTCCCCACCAGAGTGATGAGGTAGACGACAGTGACCAGTATGAAGAGGGGAAGCTGCAGTTGTGGGGCGCTGGTCAGTCCCAGCAGGATGAACTCCCTCATCTCCGTGTTATTCTCCATGGGTGGTACATTAGGACCACCAGGTGCTGTGTAGCAAAGAGAGCTAAAAGAATACATTGATGAACAAAAGTCAGTCGAACAAAAATTGAAATGTATAAGCATAGTTTTATTATATAAATAAAACTATAAGCATAATTTTATTATAACAAAAATTTTCTTTCAATATTCTGGCATCTATGGTACGGAATGACAATGCAATTTAGTGGATAACTTATCTGTGCAGCAATAGACTTATGAAGAAGCAGTATCTACTTGTTAAATTTCTGAATGGATTAACTAAATTGCAGGAAAGAAATGGGAGCTATCCAAGGTCACATGCTTAGAAGAAGTCTTTCTCTAGTTTAAGATCTTTTTAGTCTAACTGCTTGCACTTATGAAGTTCTCACACATAAAGAACTGTGTACATATATGTGTATGTTCACTTAATCCTTTCATCAATCCCATTGGATTGATTAGTTATGCCTATGTATACATGAAGTAACTTAGTAGCAAAGAAGATGAATAAATTATTCATGATTACGCACATATTAAAGGACAGACAGATCCAAGATTTGAAACATCATAGTGGTTCCTAACTTATATGCTATTGGTGAATTTGAACTGATTTTTTTTAAAATTTAAATTAATGTTTAAGTGATATATAAATATGTAGAATTATTACATATTGATGGGATAACATGATGTTTTGATACATTTTGTAATTTTGATACATTGAATATATCTATCTCATCAGTTTTAAAGTGAATTTATTTTAATTTTATTAAGTTTACACTTAATCATTGTTTCTGTTGTAAGAAGCCTAATTATTGCATGGAAGAGAGATTCTCAAATTAATTCATGGTGAATGCAGTAGGGTAAATGCAGCATTAGAGATATGCACAGCCAGAAAAATTCTTTCTGAAGCTTGGTGTGGTGATGCATGCCTGTACTCCAAGCAGCTTGGGAAACTGAGGCAGGAGGATTGCCAGTTCAAAGCCAGCCTCAGCAACTTAGCGAGGACCTAAGCAACTCAGCAAGATCTTGTCTCAAAATAAAATATAAAAAGGGCTGGGGATGTGACTCAGTGGTTAAGCATCCCTGGGTTCAATCTTGAGCTACAAAAAAACCAATTAATTCTGAAGGAAAAATATAGTATCGTGGAAAATCCAGGGCTCTGAGAAAAGTGTATTTGCATCACATATCAGCTCTGTCCTCTATCCCTGGGAGACATTGGTTCTTCAAGTGATCCTCAAAACCTCTCTTATTTAGTATCTTCCTGGAGACCCACATTTTGGCTTATGTTAAAAGAGTCCTCCTTGGATTCATCCTCATCCACATTGCTGTCAGTCTAAGCTGGATAACAGATGTTGGGGGTTACAGGCTCACTGTTGGGGAGTCAACACTCTCACATTAGTTCTTGCGCAGGCATGATATTTAAATCTCTTTATTTGGAACTTCGAGAAGGATATCCATTCTTTTGTAACCACTATTTACTGCCTGCTTACTGGCTCCAAAACCCATCATTTTACATTTTGAGATTAAATTGTTTGCCAGTGACACAATTACACTTGTAATACACACAAAAATGTAAGCTAAGATTGTATCATATGCATATGTGTGTGTGTGTACATACACATTTCCTGTGATTATTAATGTGTTCCCTTTAGGCCCCACTCTATAATCTAGAAAAGCTTACCATCTCAAAATATTTAACTTAATCACATGTAAACAATCTCTTTTACCATGTAGGGCAACATACTTATATGTTTCAACAGTTGTAATGTAAATATTTCAATGGTCATTATTCAGGCTACAACAGTCTAATGAAATCAACATGTGGTAGGTAAATTATCTCAGCATTAAAGATTTGGGGGTGAGGGGTACACTTGGGATTGAACTCAGGGACACTCAACCACTAAGCCATATCCCAGCCCTATTTTATATTTTATTTAGAGACAGGGTCTCATTGAGTCACTTAGTGTCTCACTATTCCTGAGGCTGGCTTTGAATTTATGATCCTCCTGTCTCAGCTTTCCGAGTCACTGGAATTACAGGTATGCATCACCATGTCCAGCCATGTTAAAGATTTTGAAGCTGAGACATTGTTACAGATCACAGAACCAATTTCTTTGCATATCTGCAAAGGAGATTCAGAAAGAAGTCTAAACCTTTCCCTGTTCACATACCTAAAATGAATTCATCTTCCAAAGCAGATCTACCAAGTTTAGTAACAGTTTAGACTTAAATGCTTATTTGAAATTTGTCTCATATAGATGATAATAGGCATATAAGTGATAAATAATAGATACAGTTCGATAGCAGTGAGAGAGAAGGTAGTGTTTATGAAGAATACTCTCACAAACATATGAATGTAACTTTATTTACGGTTAAGGAAAACAGAAGATTTAAGAAGTTATATGCTTCTCTAAAATTCCAAACCTAGTACAAGCTATTCAAGATATAAATCCATGTCTGGCTGATTGCTTTGGTGTGCCTTAAGTCTCTGCCTGCCAGATTTACTAAGTGCACAAGCAATGATAGGGTGAGATTTCACTTAAAATGAAAAGGAGTATGGATCTGGTAGTTTCATGATGAATTTTCTGGTGTTTAAGAATGTGCTACTTCAGTGTACTGATGAGTTATCCCTTCAATGATAAGGAAAATATATTTAAGCAGAATGAATTTACCACCTGCTCAAGAAGAACATCATCTATCCTAGGTTCTGCTCTTCCTGTTAAGGATGGTAGTGTGCCATTTTATAAATATCAATTGTATTATTTGTTGGGTAAAATATTCATTTTATTTGAATTCTCAGTTTATGTCAAGGTTTGAAATATAGTGTTCAGCTATATTTGAACTAAAACAACTCAATAATAGTTGTTCCATTATTTGCTTCAATTTACATTTTTCACTAAAAATGTTTATTGAACATAAGTGCTTAGCTTACCTTGCAGGTTGATAAGAAGGGAAAAGCAAGCTTGTGCATCTGAAATCAGAAACTCATCCCTGGAAGAATAAATAAATAATATTGAAGAAACTCTTCCTCTCTCATGTATTGGTCAAAAGGATCTAAATTCACAAATAGCATTATAAAGGCAGTACTAGGAAACCCATCTTTAAGTTTCATATCTACCATGGATTTGTTTACTCAGAAGAGTGAAATACCTTGTGCTGAGCTCAGTTTCCCTATTTGTGATTTAGAAATAATAAAATTACTCTCCCATGTACATCACAGAATTGTCTCTGTATAGCAAATGAGGATGGGGTGTATGGTCTTAGGAACCACCCTTTCCACATGAACCAATACAGTTTTAATCTTAAGGCCACTTTCCCTGCCTGTGGTTGCAGATTAACTATGGATACTCAGTTTGGGGAGAGACTGCTCTATAATAAGAAAATAGCATTTATTTCAATAAATTATGTCCATAGGCTGTGTTCTGCTGGGAGCCATTAGCCAAGTAGGTATGACAATTTCCTTGCCAGCGTACCCCATGTTGCAGTGACATTGAATGTACGTGACCTTGCTCAAGGACCAAGGCAGATTAGGGTGTTCCCGGTTTTAAGATAATCGTGTTTAGGGCGTTCCCAGTTTAGGTTCCAGGTTTAAGGTTTAAGATTATTCCTGCTGGGAATAGGGCGTATCCTGCTGCCTGAGTTCCCCTTGAGTTCTCACGGGATTCAGACTGTATATTTTGGAGATAGAAGCCCAGTGGAGGAGAATTTGGGCAGAGAACGTGGATTTGGGAAGAGAACGTGGATTTCCCCAGAACGTGATTGTAGACGGCTGGTGTGAGTTCGGGAATAAAGAGTTGCTGTTTGAATCTACAAGCTGTGTGGTGGCTCGTGATTGTGTGCCCAGCCAGACTGCGGCATTTGTGCCCAGCCAGACTGTGGCATTTGGTGGCCCGTATGGGGAACTTCTGAAGATTAGAGGTAAGTGAAATTTCTCACCCTTGAGGAAGAGAGAAAGAATGGGTGAACATTTCAAAAAACAATGTGTTCTCATTTTGATTTATTTTGTTTTTATTTCAAGTTGCCTGTTCCTAGAACTTTCTCAGGCAAACTGGGGAAAATGGTTGACTCAAGGTTTGAAGTTGTTTGCCTCTGAGCAAGAGAAATTGTTAGAGGAAGGAGGCACCCCAGTGAGACCAAGAACAATTAGGGCATATGTTGATACAATACAAAAATGTAGCCAATGGCTTTTTAAAGATGAGTTATTAAGTATATTAATGAGACCATCATGGTATCCTGTAGAAGGATTTTTCTTCAACAAGAAAGAGATGGCTAGTTCTGTTTACTACATTTGTCTAAGATCTTGGTTTTTACAGACATCTGATTAATTTACAAAGCTAAAGTGTTAAAATATCAACCACTAAATATGAAATCAAGTACTCTTTACTTATTAAGTTCCATAAGGTAATATATTTAAACATTATGTGTGTTTTCATAAATTGGTAAATGGAAAAATGTTTAATATTGCTTTGGTCTGTGTCTTTGCTAAAACAAGGTTACTAAGTGTTAAGATTCTATCATGTGTAATTTATATACAAAGAGTAGAAAAATTTTCAGTTAGGTTTCAATTATAGTATTATAGTATCATAAAAAAACATGAAAGTCTTTCATCTTATTAAAGTGGAGTAATTTGTCTAAATCAGAAATTTTATAAGAGTTGTTTCAAAATGTGAATTTATAAAAAGGGTTAACGGTTAAAAAAGAGAGAAAAAGATTCAAGATGTGGAAATATATTTTAATATAAAAGGTTAAAGGAAAAAGAAATGTTATCTAGATGAGATAATCTCTGTGTGGTAAAGTAAAAAGTTGTAAAATGCCGTTTAAAAAGATTTTGAGGAAACTAGACTTACTTTAAAAGCTTGAGAAAGGAAGAAAGAAGAAAAAAGTATTTGTACATGGCAGATTGAGACAAAGCTTCTCAATGGAGTTTAAAAAAAAAAAGCCTTTGGTTGAAGGGCAGCCATGTAAACTAACATTAAAGCGATTTAAACAGAATCTAAGCCTCGTTTAAAAGAGTGAAGTTGTAGGTGGTGAAAAAGTACATTTAAAAGTACAGTA